GTAAACATGAAGCCAACAACACTCTTTTGTGACAACAAATCAACTTTGTTCATAGCAAGCAATCCAATTTTTCACGAAAGGACAAAACATATAGACCTAGACTGTCATTTAGTAAGGGAGCGACTAAACAAAGGTGTGATAGTCACACAATATGTTCCTATCGAAGATCAACCGACGGACTTACTCGCAAAGGAATTAGGCGACGAGACAACACAAGTATTTACTAAGCAAGTTTGAGATTAGAAACATCTTTACTAATCTCAAACTTGAGGAGGTGTTAAAATGTGTAAATGCGGTATGCAAGATGATGCATACATGGAGAATATGCATGGTGAAATGCATGGTAACCTCACGGGAACAATTAGAAGCGAGAATCCGTTATAACCAACCTTGCCCACCAAGTGTTTGTTATAATGATTCCGTCACACCTACAACATTGGAAATCTCGGCGACCAATCTCCGCCACTTGTCAAGCGATCCGAGGAACTAGGAGAATTCTTCTACTCGCAAAGGCCAATGATTGGCACACAAGAAGTAGCTATTAGAAATTAGTTATATATTTTCTCTTTTGTAGGAGTATTCTAGAATGCTTGGATAGTTTGTATATATATAGGAAGAAATGCCGGAATGTAAAGTATGCTTGAAGAATAAATAAATCCTCCTTCCTTCACTATCTTCTCTCTCAATTTTAACAATAATTACTATATCACAAGCCTTATAATAGCCTCTTGGCACACACGTTTTAATTAATAAAGTTGTTGGAATTTGGGGTTGGGTTTTTATGATATTTGTCTCTACAATTTAGGAAAATTTTAATTAATAATTCTATATAAATCATTATGAAATTAAATCATTTCCTTTATATTAATTTACGTTCATTTGTTTTTAGGGAAAATGTTAGAAAACTCTTTTAAGTTTCTTTTCTCGTGATTAAACTACCCATGTTTTCTTTCAGACTTCATTTATATTTTTGAGTATACAACTTATTGTTAAATTATTTCATCTCGGTTGCGGTAGGGGCTGAATACTTAGTTATAAATGTAAAAAAAAACTTTACTTCTTGATCTAGTTTTTGAGATTGAAAAAATCCAATAACACTCAATATTAGTAATGGAGTCCAAGTTAAATAATTTTCTATATGTGGACACAACGTAAATTGATAAAGAATAATCAACTTACGACTTAATTAATATGTGAAGAAAGAGATTTTTAGATTATTTTACATTGATTGTACAAGGGACAAGAAGTTTGATAAATATGAACAAAAATCTCATTTCTTAACCTAATTTTTGGAATTGAGAAGGTCTACTAGCATCCAACACTCATTACTACCGATAATCTTCATGTTTAATTATCAATTGGTATTTAATCTAATTGGTATTTGCAAGTGATCTAAATTATTGGTTGGTGGTCAAATTTTAGGATTCAATTATTGGTGTCGTCCTGTCCTTTTTTGACAATTTGATTTGCCATCCAAAGTCTGACTTAGTTTTTTTTTTTAATTATTATTTTTGAATCATTTTGTGAAAGATGTTAATTTTTTTAGAATACTTACCAATGAAATTCATCCAATTAATGAATAATTTTTTCTTCAGAAAGTGATTGTGGAAAATTCTTTGGATAAAATTAGCATCATTCCTGTTATATGAGTACAAATTAATAACTATATTTTCTTTTTTGGTTTCAATGCATATGATGTGATTTTAGACAAGTTTTTACGTAGTGAACTCATATTCTTTACTAATAAAATTCATCCATTCAATGAATTAGAATTTTCAAAAAGTGATTGTGGAAAAGTCTTTAGATTTTTCATTTTTGACGTCAATGGATATGATCCATCTTCATATATCGATATGATCCATCTTCATATATCAAAATCATATATACATTATTTTTTTATATTAATTAAAAATAAATTCATTATTTTTTATTTTAATTTTTCAGACTAACCCAATGTGTTCTACAATCGAAATTATGTCCACTGCTTTTCTCATTTTTCGAGTCAATCATTTGATTGTCCTTTAGACTAAAACACTTCAAAATTTGATGATATCACTAAAAGATTATTATGAACAATTATCCATTATGTTACACCGTGTGGTGGTATTATTCTTTTCTATTCAAATTTTAAGTAAACATTAAACGTAGGAATAGTTGCATTCACGGAAACTTATTTTTCATGCATTTTCAAATTCAAAAATTACAAAATAATTTGAGGAGCAAAATCATGCGACATAATCACCTTGCAAGTGGCAGCAAACCTAAACAACGGGAAAAAGCCACTTCCTATCACTTATAGCTTCTGATTGGAGGATGAATCGGCTTGCCATAACAAGCACTTTGCATGTTTAAAAATTGAAGGACGTACAATATTGGTACTCGTGCAACTTGAGAAAGGAAAATTAAGGAGATCACGTGGTTATTAGCTAGCTAAGAACAAAAGATGATGACTCTCTGCAGCGTTAAATTAAAGAGCTCTAACCAAGCCAGGATTAACATTTTAATTTATTACATGATCATGGGCAAAAAATTACTCTAATTAAACATTCTTGGCATTTTTTTTCACTTAATTTTTTTACATTACTCACTAACAAAGAAAGGTGTGATTCTCTCCAGCACGCATAGACTCTTTTTTGGTGGCTTTAATCCTTTAACCTTGTCTTATGCTACGTGATTATGTACTTTAAGGCTAATTAAAAAGAAAACATCCAAATTTTGGGTTTACTTTTAATTATTTGTTTTTAAATTCATGAAGTTATGGGTTTATGTTGTTGTATATTCTCTCTAACGTTCAATTTTATCGTACTTGTAGGAATATGTAGGTCCTTGTTGGACTTTTTTTTATTGAGGAGGACATGATACTCTCCTTAATTAAGACAACGGTTAAGACAGCCAAAGCATTCGACGAATGAGACACCTTATGATGGTAGATTGTAAAAGTTGAAGCTGAGAAAGATTGCACGCTGAAACAATATGTATGTAATTCTTTTACTAGGACGTTGTCCTTGTACATGTCTCTATTTGTTGAACTTTTTGCTGGTAGTTTTTTAAATTTGATCCTTAAGCTGTTTCTTTAGGTTTTCCTTGTACATGTATGTAGTCTTGTTCTATATGGAGAATCCGAATCCAAACTTGAATCTGATTACATGCGCATATATTTTGTTTTTAGCCTTTCGTCAAGTGTGTGTATATATATATATATATATGTTTTAAATAATTTATTCTATAAAATAATTTTGTTGTTGAATTTATTTTTTGATTATTTATATATATTAAACGTCTGTGTATCAAAATTATGTTAAAATTCAATATTTACGAGGATTTCATATTTATTTTTGTATTATGCTTTAAGTATTAAATATTAACTATTGTATTATAATTATAAAAGAAACTGTTTTTTTTTTAATTAACGGGGAATCTCGAACCTGATGGAATTTTTTTTCCACCTTGAACTTGATAAATACGGGAAGGGATGAATGAGATATAGTTTTATTAATTTGAATGTGCATTATGTTTTATTACTATTAAACGATGAGAAATGACTTGAATTACAGACTTTCTCTCTTTTCTCTTTCTTTACATAAACAAATACCATTAAATCAAAATTATGTTAATAATTTAAAATAACAATTAAAAGAAAATGAGAAATAGCAATATCATAGAGTAAATGATTTTGTTTTTTTTCATGTTTTGAAAAATAATATGATCGATTATGTTTCAAATGACACCATTAATTTCAAAGTACACCATCCAATAGAATATATGAAATAAAGAATAATAATTAGTAGTTAAGTGGTTGTTATTTTTTACATTTACTAAGATTTTTGTTGAGTTGTGGAGATTGATGTGAATTTAGCTTGTATTTTAGAATACTATGCACATAACGATTTTGCTAGTCGGTTAGCGAGTGGAGTTCATGAGGGTAGTGCCTCTTGCGGGGGCTCGGGGGCGGATCTCCCGAAAAATCTATAGAATATTGGGCTAGATGTATTTGTCCACACTATAAATATATTTGAAGCCATCACTTAATAAAACTCAAATAAGAAATCGTAGTATAGTCGCCAAGTAAACACAATTGTCGAGCCACTTAAATCTTTGTATTATGTGAGTGTTCTTGTCTTTCTACTCTATTTTCTTGCTTGATTCATTTCCTAACATTATTACTATTCATTTTCAATTTAATAACTTAATTTTAAGAAACATTACTAAATATGATAGAATGGATATAAGAGGATCCCATTGCATCATATGGATTGAGTAGTATTCCACCTCATTGTTTAATTTTCAATATCAATTTAACAATATTTTAGAGTTTTTGATAAGTTCTAATGTATATAATAGTAAATGCAATATAAATTATTTATAAACCTCCCTAAATAATTTAAATTAATAGTTCGAGTGATTTTTTCACATGATATTACAACATTAACAATCAAATAATTAAAAAAGTATGGATCCTATCAACCATTCTTTTGTAATTAAATTAAAACTATTTCATGGAGCCATCAACACGTCCTAACTATACCATTAAATAGTTCATGGAAATCATTGAAAAAATGAGAAAACTATAAATTTAGTACCAAAATTTTGATTTTGGTTATGTTTTGGTGCCTAACCTTTTATTTGTCATGATTGGATACCTAACATTCAATTTTTTTTTGATACATGATATTGGTAGAGACACAATTCTACTAACGCGTCCAACAAGAGATGTCACCCGGCATTTTTCATTGCCATATGACATTTGTTAGACTAATACGGTGGAAAAAAATATTCGGTTGAAAAAAACATTTGGTGGGATTTTTCTTGCCTCGTTGTTGGTCGCCCTTTCAAAGACGGTTAAAGGGTAGCCATTAAACACCTGTAGTTACTTCAAAGGAAATTTAATAAATTTTCCAAGAACAAACCCGGATAAATGCTAGGTGGTATATGCAATTGTGGAGGAGCTTTAGTGCTTGTGAACTTCATGGACGGAAACAAATCCGGGACGAAGATTCATCATGTCCGGGAGAAGAAGATGCAATATTTTTGAGTGGGTTGATCCACCCATTTGTGATCGTGCAAGGCTAATTATTCTTGGCTTGTTGAGGAGACTAAATAAGCTTGAATCCGACATCAATTACAAGAAAATGACCTTTAAAATCTTATGGTGTTGTCTATTGCTTTCTTGGGGTTTTGCAATATACAAGCTACTTTGATGAAGAAAGTGAATTTTGAAGGGTACAAACTTTTATGAATGTTTTGAGTTGCATGATTTTTTATCGGGGTGTGCTAGATTTGTAGTGGGGCGGTAATAGGGTTTTTGAAGTGGGTTGATGAAAGTAGTAAGTTTGGGTTTGTCGAAGAAACAAAGAGGGACATAATGTTCATTTGGGTTTGCTTGAGAAACAAATAGGGGCATATGTGTGAGTTTGCTTGAGAAACGAAGAAGGGCATATGTATCGGTTTGATGAAATTTATAATATGTGTCATAACCCAAAATTTTTCCATTTCTTTTCTCTCTTTTTTATCATTATTTATTTATTTTTACTTTTTACTTTTATTATCGAAAATTAAAAAAAAATATCAAAATATAAAAATACAAAATCAAGGGTATAATTGAATAAAATAAAAGCAAAATTGTGATAATTATTGATACATTTGAATTGATTAAAAATTTTAGAACCACAATTACAAGACTCGGGGACCTAATTGAAGAAAATTAAAATTTCGGGGACTATAATGACTCTACTCAAGATTACAATTGAAACAAAATATAAGCCTATAGGGATCTAATTGAACATTGAGAGTAGACAACAAGACTAATTTAGGATCAACCCATATGACCTGTCGTCCGATTGCTACTAAACCACTAGACATGATGTGTATGTTTATTACTTTACCACCCTCCGGCACGATTCACCTTCATCAAAGACCGGAGGGATGAAGTTCTTACAACCAACAAAGCCAATGCATCATCCTGTAAACACTCGCATCTAAACCCCATTCATCATCCTATAAGCTCCCGCATACAAACCAAGATAAATCCCTTGCAACTATACTTCTACATATATCTTGCCAAACTCTACATCCGAATCTTCCGCAAAAACCATAATTAATGCCAATTACAAGGGACAGGGGACCCGTTGTCCATTATAACTATAAAAGAGAAGGGAAAGAAGAGGGGAGGAAAAGGTAATTTGAGAGATATAAAAAGAGAGGAAATTGAAAGCAATTCTATTCAATTTAGAAGCAATTTGGAATCTTGAGAGTAAATTTAAGGGGAAATCCTAGAAACAATCTTAGGAGAAAAGCATTGTTTGAAATCAATTCGGAAAGGCTAAAGCAAAAACAAACTATAACATAACTAAGGAGTGCAAATCCTTATCCCTTAGTTTTCAAAGGATACTAGAGAAGTTGGGGCGGTGGTCATCTATTGTTAGTTACCCATCCTTAGTTAAGCTCCTACCATCAACACTCTAACATATTTTCTTGACCTTCTAAATTGCCATTATCATCTGCTACCATTCAACCTCATTAAAGTTTCCCTCAAGCAAGCATCCAGGTAAGACCTTTTCCTTTTTAATTTACTCCTTGATTTACATAGTTGCCTCACATTAAAATCCCTAGGACCCCTCAATCACACACATCATACATTAATTTTTTGAAGGGTTCAAATTAGATTTAAGATACCTAGATAATTCGGGTTTAGCTTTCAAAACTAGGTTGGATTCAGGGTTCTAGGCAATCTAGTTTTGAGTTTTAGGGTTTTTAATTGAGAAGAAAGGAAGGATCTAGGGCTAAAAAGAGGGTCGATTATAGGTATTTATGGGTTTTAATTTACGGTTTAATTAGCAATTGGGATCTGGGTATGAACTAGAATAAGACCTCGAGTTCATGGGTTTTGCGAGAGACAATGAGGAATTGATTGGATTATGATGGGTTTTCAAGGGAGTTAAGATTGTTTGATCTCAACGACGATTAAATAGAGCCGGGCATGAAAGGGATAGAGGAAGAGAAAACAAAAATGGGGTTACGGATTTCATTTTGACAAAAGGGAATCGAAGGAAAAAAGAGGAGATTAGACATTTGGGCTTGAATGGAGAATTTGGATGAAAAGATGACAGGAAAGCTAGTTTTTGATTAAAGAAAGAAGGAAATGAGAGTTGATTTTAGTTCAAGAGCTTACTAGTTTTGTTGAAGGAGAAAGGGAGAAGACACAAGAGATGAGAGAAAGAGAGAGTATGTAGAATTTAGTTTTGATTGAAATAAATTAAGGAGAAAAAGAAAAGAGTGTTAGTGAGTTAGTTAGGCAAAAAAAGAAAAAAAGAGAAAAGAAAGAGTGGATAGGGCCATGCGAGCCAAGGTGCGGGCTAACCTTAGTCCCGCTAGAAAAAAAGAAAGAAAGAAAGAGAGGAGAAAGAGAGGAGGGGAGAAGGCTGCTAGCCTAGTGGTCTTGGCTCGATTGGCTAAAGGCCTACCGACCCCAAAAGCATAATACCTTAATTTTAGTCTATTTTTTAAGATAAATTAACCACGATTTTCTTTTACTTATGTATTGTTATTTTCTTCTTAATTTAGATTTAATGTTTTCAATTTTCTTACATTTATTTAGTTAATGTTTAATTTTAGGATTTATTTCAATAATTAGGTTAAGTAATTACTAGGTGGACGAATTATTGAGTTTCTTGATTTTAAAAGTCTAATGACGATTCTCTACCAATAACAAAAAAATAAAATAAAATAAAAAATGAAAAAAAAGAGGGGGAAGGTAAAAATATAGAAAAAACTTGATGATAAATTAACAAAGTCTCATATCTAATAGGGATTGATATAAGCATAAATCAATCACATTTAATAATTAGGTTATTCTACGATATATTGGTTATGTAGAGACTTAAACTAAATCGATGTGATGCTTGATCGAGGGGCTCGACGATCGATTCAATATGATGCCACAAACAAATATAAAAAACTTAGTATGACATAGGAAATAAAACTTGAAATTTTGACTAGGATTAAGTTTTGGCAAAAATATAATTTTTTAGAAGATAAATTTTAAGACTATACTAGACATGGTACCTTTCTTAGGAAATGGTGCTTTTTGGTGATTGATATCTTCCATAGGCATAACCAACGTATTACACAAGAATCTTTGAACCGAGTGCCCATTTTAGTTCTAAATTCCTTCAATACCGAGTGGCAATTCCAAAATTAATAATAACTCATCCCAAAATCAATGAAATTTTCAAATATATAAATTTAATTTTTGAGAGTCCTACGAAAGTCAAGTAACGACAATATATTTGTTAGAAATTCGATAATCAAATGGCTTCGTGCTAAGTCTTGTTTTAGGAACATTGTAGCACAAAGGAAAAGGTAAAATCCGCTCTAAGTGCGAAACGGGAAACATCCCAAAGAATAAGGAAACACATGCTCCGTGAATTCATTCGAGGCTTAGTTACGTGATAATAGACCATCTCTTTCTAGCGAGACTTGATTGACAACCACCGCATTTTATTTTTTTAGGTAGATCGCCCGGATAACAAGGCCATTGTCACCAATTTTACTTTTCAAACGAGGCCACCCGGATAACAAAGCCATCGCATCGTAGTTTATTTTTTCGGATAGATTTTCCAAACAACAAGGCCATCACATAGCATTTTACTTGTTTAGATAGGCCGTTTAAATAATAAGACCATCATATTATATTTTTACTTTTCGAGTAGGCCACCAAGATAACAAGTTCATTACATCGCATTTTATTTTTTTGAGTAAATCACCTAAATAAAAAGACCATCGCATTGTATTTTACTTTTTTGGCGAGACCATCCCGATAAAAAAGCCATTTCATCATATTTTACTTTTTTGGATAGGCCACCCGGATAACAAGGCCATCATCATCGTTTTTTATTTTTTTCGGACGAGTCATCTAGATAACAAGACCATCATTATTGTTTTTTAGTTTTTTAGGTAGGCCACCCGGATAATGCGACCATCACATTGCTTTTTTTATTTTTTGGATCGACCACCCGGATAACAAGGCCATTATTATCTCTTTTTACTTTTTTAGGATAGGTTGTCCGGATAACAAGGCCATCATCATATATTTTTATTTTTTTGAGCAAGCCATCCGTATAACAAGACCATCGTATTGCATTTTCACTTTTTGGATAGAGTCGCCTAGATAATAAGGCCATTATCGCCTTTTACTTTTTTGGGCAAGCCACCGGATAATAAGATCATCCCATCACATTTTATTTTTTTGGACATATTGCTCATATAATAAGGCCATCATTACCATTTTTACATTTTGGGCATGCCACCCGGATAATAAAGCAATTGCATTGTATTTTACTTTTTAGATAAAGTTCGCCTAGATAATAAGGCTATCATCATTGTTTTTTACTTTTTAAAGCGAGACCACCTTGATAACAAGGCCATCACATTGCATTTTTACTTTTTTAAGTCGATCGCCCGGATAACAAAGCCATTATCATCATTTTTTACTTTTTAGGACGGACCATCAAGATAACAAGGCCATTATCATCGATTTTTACTTTTTCGAGCGAGGCCACCCAAATAACAATACCATTACCTTGCATTTTTTCTTTTTTGAACAAACCGCCCAAATAACAAGACTTTATTATTAGGGGGTACAATTAAATTAAATAAAGGTAAAATTGTGGCAATTATGGATACATTTGAATCGATAAAAAATTTCATAACCATAATTATAGGACTCAATTAAAAAAATTAAAAATTCGGGGACTACAATGAATCTTATAAGGATTACAATTGAAAAAAAATCTAAACCTATAGGGATTTAATTGAACATTGAGAGTAGATGACATGACCAATTCGGATTAACTCGAACAACCTACTATCTTATTGCTCCTAAATCCTAGAGATGACGTGTATGTTTGGTACTTTACCACCCCTCGATACTATTTGCCTTCATTAGTGGCTCGAGGGATAAAGCTCATGTAACCGAGTAAAGTTCCTCCTTCATCCTACAAACTCTCCATTCAAACCCCATACATCATCCTACAAGCTCTTGCATATAGACTAGGACAAACCACCGGTAATAAATCTCTTGCACGCTCCTATCAAACCCTATATCCAAATCTCCTATAACCTTGGACAAAGTATGTCAACCTTACAACCCTTAGAACTCGCTGTTTGGCTCATGCACCATCCTATAACCACCTGCAAACCCAACATTCCCAAAGAAGGCTAGCAATTAGGTATGATTCAAAAAACATAACGAGTTTTGGCTTTGTATAATACATAAGCCAAAAAAAACAATTAATTACAATTACGGGGGAAAGGGGATATGTTGTCCAATATAAATAGAAAAGAGAAGGAAAAGAAGAGGAGATGAGAAGGCAATTTGAGAAACAAAGAAATAGAGAAAATTGAAGGATACTCTTTTCAATTCGAAGCAATTTGAAATCTTGATAGTAAATTTAAGGAGAAATCCCGAACCAATCCTAAATGAAAAACATTATTTGAAATCAATTCGGAAAGGCTAAAGTAGAAACAAACCATAACGAGTTGAGGAGTGTGAAATCCTTACCCCTTTAGTTTTAATAGCACTGTGGATTCCAAAAGGATACTTGGAGAAGTTAGGGCGGTATTCATTTACTACTAGTTACCCCTCCCAAGTGAAGCTCTTGCCATCGGCACTCCAACATATTTTCCTAACCTTATAAATCACCATCATCACTATTGCCATTCATACTCATTCAAGTTTCCCTCGAGTAGGCATCCGGGTAAGGTTTTTTCCTCTTTAATTTACTTCTTCATTTACATAGCTGCCAAGCTTTAAAAGCCTTACCCCTAAATCACACGACCTCACACTATTGCTTTGAAGGGTTCAAATCGGACTCGGGATACCTAGATAATTCGGGGTTTAGCTTTCAAAAATGGGGTTGAGTTTTGGGTTCTAGGCGTTCTAGTTTTGAGTTTTATGGTTTTCAATTGAGTAGAAAAGAAGGATCTAGGGCTAAAAGGATGGTCGATTATGGGTATTTAAGGTTTTTAATTTAGGTTTTAATTAGCAATTGAGACTGAATGTGGACTAGAATAAGACCTAAAGTTCATGGGTTTTAGAAGAGATAGTGATGAATTGAGTGGATTTTGATGGGGTTTTTAGGGAGCTATGATTGTTTGATCCGAAGGATGATTAAGTAGATTCGAGCATAAAAGGGACATAGGAAAAGAAAGTAAAAAAAAGGAGGGGTGTGGTTAGGGATTTGGTTTTTGAAAAAGAGAATTTATAGAAAGGAGAGGAGATTGGGTGCTTGGTTTTGAGTGGAGAATTGGGATGAAGAGATGAGTGGAAGGCTGGGTTTCAATCGAATGAAAAAGGAGTTGGGAGTTGATTTTGGTTTAAGAGCTAATTAGTTTTATTGAAAGGGAAGGGAGAAGATGCAATAAATGAGAGAAAAAGAGAGCGGAATTCGATTTTGATTGAAATGAGTTAGGCCAAAAAAAGAGAAAAGAAAGAATGGGCTAGGCCAAGCTCAACCCACGCGAGCCAAGGGCCGGGCCGATCTCGGTCTAGCTAAACCCAAAAGAAAGAAAGAAAGAAAGAAAGAGAGGAGAAGATACTAGCCCGAGTCTTGTTGGCCGTATGGGTCGAAGGCCTACTAACCCCAAAAAACCTAATAACTTAATTTTAGTTTACTTTAAAGATAAATTAACCTCAAATTTTTTTATATATGCATTTTTATCTATTGCTAATTTAGATTTAATGTTTTGAATTTATGTAGTTAATGTTTAATTTTAGAATGTATTTCAATAATTAGGTTAGGTAATTAATAAATGAACGAATTATTGAGTCCTCTAATTTTTTAGAACCGATGATGATTCCACTGCCATTAAAAAAATAAAATTGAAAATTGAACAAAAAAAGAGGAGAAAGGTAAAAATATAAAAAAACGCTAGGTGAAAAATTAACAAAGTCTCATATCCGATAAAAATTGATGTTAGTCCAAATCATTAATATTTAGTAATTAGGTTGTTTTACGACATACCGGTTATATCAAAAGTTAAACTAGATCCGATGTTGAATTCGGAGAGTCGACTATTGGTTCAATATGATGTCATAAACTAAAATAAAAAATTTAGTTTGACATAGGAAATAAAACATGAAATTTTGACTAGGGTTAAGTTTTGGCAAAAATAAAATTTTTTAGGTGATAAATTTTAAGACTAAGTTAGACGTTGTACGTTTCCTAGAAAAGAATACTTTTAGGAGATTGATATCTTTTCAAGAGTGTAACTAACTCTTTATTCAAGAATCTCTAAAACGAGTGGCCATTGTAGGTTTCTAGATCCTTCAATATTAGATGACAACTTCAAAATTAATAATAACTCATATCCTAAAATCTATAAAATTTTTAAATAAATAAATATAATTTTTGAGAGTCTCATAAAAATCGAGGTAATGATAATATGCTTGTTAGGAATTAGGTTAAGTTAAATAAAATTTAAATAGGTTGTATAACTACTTTGAGGTTAATAAAAAAGAAATTTGTTTTAAGTTGTTAGTTAAAAGAATTCCATTCAACAACCGACATTGAACATGCTTCCATTAAACCTATTATTTGGCTATTCGTGAAACACTTGTGTTAATATAAAATAATATCTTGAACGAGTAAACTTGCTCCCAAAACAGACAAAAAAAATCATATGAAAAAATTAATATATTGGTGGCCATTAATATTTAGAGATATATAGCCATGTAAAACTACACTAATGGTTAATAGCTTTTGTATAGCTATACATAAAAAAGACCTCATTATTCTAATTGCTCATACAAAACTCAAAATAAAAAGTTTGTGTCTCATTGTTAGCTAATTTAGATTTCTTCTTTTGTCTTTTGTTGTTTGTAATACTTAGTGAACCCCTTTAACTCTGCTATCTATCATTATTACCATCTTTCATTAGTTTAGCTTTCATCTATTTTTTTCACTTTTGGTTGAATTCATATCTTTTAAGTGTTAACACGTTATGACTTTATAATTTCTATTTGGAGTCCTAGTTGTTGCCCCATATAAAAGCTTGTGGCTTCTTGGACCAGCTTACAACATGATAGTCAATTTTAACAACTATAGCCACAACCATAATCACAAATTTCACCAATAAATTTATCTATAAATTAGAATATTGAAAGCTAAACTTACATTGATTACTATACTAGTATTTTCCGACACTACATTTGCACTTGTTTGTGTACTATAGACTTCACTTTCAGCTCGACTACATTGATTACTATATTGTTGATTGCCATTGTCATCTCCAACTTGAGTATAACCAACACCAATAACAACACCTCCAACTTCAGCAACAAGATCACTACTCATAGTGTTTAAGTTATTCCTAGGTTTTCATTAGTCCCATTAGCTCTAGAAGTTTGTTTTTTTGTCCTTATACTACACAGGAGAAAAAATAGCTAACAA